GCAAACCCGGTTAACAAAAAATAGCTAAAATATTTGTTATTTTTTTGTTATTTGGTAGATATGATTTTGGAATTTGTGGCTACAAGCCTTGCGTGGGCAGGTGGGCAATGTGTACCGGATAGAGAGGACTGAGGACTGAATGTAGGCTTAAACACAACATGCCCGCGGTGTAGCTTTATTGTATCGAAAAATACGACAGGAATTAATGAATTTGAGAGAAAATTGAAATTAATCCAAAAATGTCAGCTCAAATAATCTCTGCTGAAGTTCATCACAATTTTTTCTATTTCAAAAGATTACGCTTATCAGGAAATTTGTAAAATTGAAGCATATTTCCCCTATTGTCCATCATTGTTAATCGAGCAGGTTTATGGTGTATTTGACGAAATTTTGGCCTTTTTTACGTCATACTGTCATATCGTTTTCGTGTATGGACCCGACCGACGAGGCCCAATAACATTTAGAGTTGGCTTGCACATATGAGTGCGCATACTGTGGTCGCTTGGTCAATTGCCTTAAAAAGGTCTTTTCAGACCTAGCATATTCTTTGTCATGGCATGTCATTGGTACATTTTCAACATCTTCACAGACATTGACTCCGATGCAGCAAGCAATGCTTTCATTCCACTGCTAGGTGAATGCAACGGTTTGTTATTATTAAATGTGCATGGATTTACAAAACATAAAGTAATTGGAAGCCTGCCTTTCTTGTAATCATAGTAATGGTCTACACCGGTTCGTACAGTTATTAACCATTGTTATTTAATAAAACTCAAATATGTACATGGAGTTACATTCTACGGAACCATTTTGCATTCTTCCTCAACTTCATCAGTGTCCATCTACCACGACAGACGCCTCGTGCTTCTTCCGCCACTTCTACGCCCTGTGTGTGCGCGGGTAGTTGGTTGTTTGTGCTTGCGGTCTGTGCATTGAGGGGTCCGCCCAGCGCATGGTTGGTCAGCGGTTTGGCGGCACGCGCCCGGCGGTTGGGGTGTGCTTGTGCGCGCTGTGCTGCCTGTGGTGCTGTAGGCTGGCATGCGCGTGGGGCAGCCCCCGAGGACTGAATGTAGGCTTAAACACAACATGCCCGCGGTGTAGCTTTATTGTATCGAAAAATACGACAGGAATTAATGAATTTGAGAGAAAATTGAAATTAATCCAAAAATGTCAGCTCAAATAATCTCTGCTGAAGTTCATCACAATTTTTTCTATTTCAAAAGATTACGCTTATCAGGAAATTTGTAAAATTGAAGCATATTTCCCCTATTGTCCATCATTGTTAATCGAGCAGGTTTATGGTGTATTTGACGAAATTTTGGCCTTTTTTACGTCATACTGTCATATCGTTTTCGTGTATGGACCCGACCGACGAGGCCCAATAACATTTAGAGTTGGCTTGCACATATGAGTGCGCATACTGTGGTCGCTTGGTCAATTGCCTTAAAAAGGTCTTTTCAGACCTAGCATATTCTTTGTCATGGCATGTCATTGGTACATTTTCAACATCTTCACAGACATTGACTCCGATGCAGCAAGCAATGCTTTCATTCCACTGCTAGGTGAATGCAACGGTTTGTTATTATTAAATGTGCATGGATTTACAAAACATAAAGTAATTGGAAGCCTGCCTTTCTTGTAATCATAGTAATGGTCTACACCGGTTCGTACAGTTATTAACCATTGTTATTTAATAAAACTCAAATATGTACATGGAGTTACATTCTACGGAACCATTTTGCATTCTTCCTCAACTTCATCAGTGTCCATCTACCACGACAGACGCCTCGTGCTTCTTCCGCCACTTCTACGCCCTGTGTGTGCGCGGGTAGTTGGTTGTTTGTGCTTGCGGTCTGTGCATTGAGGGGTCCGCCCAGCGCATGGTTGGTCAGCGGTTTGGCGGCACGCGCCCGGCGGTTGGGGTGTGCTTGTGCGCGCTGTGCTGCCTGTGGTGCTGTAGGCTGGCATGCGCGTGGGGCAGCCCCC